TCCCAAGCATGATGTCCCTCTCCAAGGACCCGTCCCTCCTGGCAACATGTCCAAAGTATGTCAGACGAAGCCCCAGAATCCTTGCCTCCAAGGAAGGAGTAGCTTGGTTTAATCCTCTCCAAGATGAATCTGTTTGTTTTATTCCCAAGATCAATTCTTTTTCTTCCAACTTAGGCCACATCTAACCATGAAACAATCTCCATTATCAGCTTATAAAACAAGCCAAGAGTCAAGTGGTCTGAAAAGTATATCAAATGAATTAATTAGAATTTTAATTGCATATTGATGTTATTATGTGCCAAATATCTTCCAATTTTACTAAGTTGCAAGCTTGCTAAAGACAAGAGCTAATGGTTTGTCCACTATTTGAATCTCGAAAATAAAATCTAAACTAATTAATGAAACCTTTTAAATAAAATTGTCCATTTCTGAAGTGCTTGCTGCAGAAGGTCAAGGACTGCAGCCTTCAATATGGATTGAGGCTCAACATCAAGAAAACAAAGATTCTCACCACTGGGCCAGTTGGCAGCATCATGATGGAGGGTGAAGAGACTGAGACTGTTCACAGCTTTAGTTTGCTTGGCTTCACAATCAACACTCTTGGCATCAGCATCCAGGAAATTAAAACATGTATTGCAATGGGAAAGTCTGCTGTTAGGGACCTTTCCAAAGTACTGAAGAGCAATGGTATCACTCTGGAGACTAAGGTGTGCCTGATACAGACCATGGTCTTTACAGTCACTTGCTATGCATCAGAGAATTGGACAATGACTAGGGAGAACAGAAGAAGAATTGATGGCTTTGAGCTGTAGTGTTGGATAAGAGTATTGAATATACCATGGACTGCTAAGAAAATGAACAGGTTAATCCTAGAGAGGGTTAAACCAGGCTGTTCCTTGGAGGCAAGGATTCTGAAGCTTTCCCTGACATACTTTGGACATGTTGCAAGGAGGGACCAGTCCTTGGAGAAGGACGTCATGCTTGGGAGGGTGGAGTGACAGCATAGGAGAGGAAGACTCTGCATGAGATGGATTGATTCAGTGATGGGGTAATGGGGGGTAGGTTTGTCAGAGACAGTGATATTGGCACAGGATAGAGCAGGGTTCAGGGCTGTTCTACATAGGGTTGTTATGAGTCACAGGCAACTCAACTGCACATAACAACAACAACATTTAATATTTAAAATTAAATATAAGAAAAGTTGTAAAAAAGTTTAGAAGTAACACGAGAAATAATCACTTAAAGTTATTGATCCTGGACAGAAATTATTAATGAAATATTCTAATAAATATTTTAGCTCTTTCTCTTCACAGTAATTCAAGAATTGTCAGCCCATGCTTCACAATACACACAAAAATAAATTCAAAATGGGTAAGAGACATAATGGTTACCCATGGTGGACAGTGTTTGGTGGGGTTTCCCAATTAAAACAAGTTTGGAAGCAGGAGTGGCACCCACTTCCGAAATAGCTTGCCTCTGGAAACCCTATGAACCTGGAGAAAGGATGAAAGTTATGCAAATGTTCAGATCTTTTGTTCATAGGGTCGCTCCGAGTTGCCTATGGCTCACCGACACTTAAAAACTGCAACAACAACAAAATAATAATCAAATTCTTAGGAGAAAATGTAGAGGTGAGCTTGTGGTACAAAGCTTTTAGCAATGGATCATCAGATATTACAATTAAAGCATAAAAAAGAAAATAATAGATAAATAAATCCTTCTACTGCATTGAATCAGAGGCTGTAAATTTTAATGGGAAGAGACAGCCTATATTTCTCCTATAGAACAGCTGGTACACCAAAAATACTTAGTCTTTTAGTTAGAATTACAACACACTACAGACTACATCAATAGTGTTATTTTAGAGGTTAAATATTTTAACTGATAGAAAGATTATCAATCTTATGAGCAGCCATTTAAGATGGGCAAGCTTCAGAGTACATAGGGTCACTATGAGTAGCAGGTGACTCAATGGCACATAAAAAGAACAATATTAAACAATAATCATATCAAATCTGGCTATCCATTCCTGATCTCAGTAACATAACAGAACACTAGGAGAACAACATCAACATGCTTATTTTACTCACAAAGTTTACTCTCATATTTTACATACAAGTATGAAAATTTCAGTCCAAGAACCTGGCACTCAAGTTCAGTACATAATCTAAGTTATTGTGCTGTAATTTGACTATTGGTAAGGAGCTACAGTGCAATCCTGAAGGCATATGGTTCAAATCTACAAACTGCTCCACAGGAGAAGGATGGATAATCTTCTCCTGTGCTATTAACTGCCTCAGAAAATCCACTGGAGGGTCAGCTATCGGTTCGGTTCCTTCTCAACGGCACACAACAACAACACATTCAATAATAGGTATTCATGCAACTAAGCCACCACTTTAATGATAAGATGAACAGCTTCTGAGCAGAGTATCAGTGCTTGGAACAGTGTTAGAGATTTCATTTTCTACAATGTTGATTACCTTGTTCCTCTGAAAAGTTAGGAGGATGGTGTTTATCTAGAATATCTGGAATCTGTGGAATGAGTACTTGATCGGGAATTTCAAAATAATCTGGAAGACTCATTTCTGTCTTATATAAAATGGTCCTAGGCTTCTTCAACTCTGAGGCAGTAAAGAGCATTTGAGACTGTAAATAAGCAGAGAAAAATTAAAACATAATCCTTGTAACTTATTTCTAACACTTATACATGCACAAAAAGCATTATGCATTTAGATTCTACATTTTAAAAACTAATTGAGTGGACAAAGGGATTGAAATTTTTCACTTCTGTAGTCCCCTATTATGTAATTGGAAAAAGATAATATTAACAAGTTACACAGGACCAATGAAGTCATTCTTTACTAAGGGATGTTCCAAGTACCTGTGTCACTAAATCATAAGCTAAAAATGTCAATGCTTTGAAGAAAACATTCCACTAGTGAAATAGGTTGAAGAAGAGCTTCTTTTGCAAGTTGAGACTTACCCTCCTTAGGATCAAACTATGAGCTCTAGTTCTTAAAGCAGAACAGAATGAGCTCCTCTCTTTTGTTAGTGACAATTCTGTGAATATATAAAAGCAAGTAAAGTCCCACTTTATAACACATCTTTAAAAAGCTCTTTCTGTCCAGGTTTGATTATTTTTTAAGGTCCTTATGCTGTCATTCATACAATGTGAGTTACAATTCAACCTATGCACATGGTTCCTTAGACACAACTTAATTTAATATTCATTTTCAGAATGGGACACTCTAAGTAAAAACCTGCCCTTTAAGTGTGAGGCAAGGGGGTTGAACTGACTTCTTCAGAAAAGAATTCAAGCTCCTTAAGCAAGGACAGAGCATTTATTATGCACAAAGCCCCGGAGGTAGACAAAAACTGCAGTTTTTTAGATTTATAGAAATTCACCCACTAGTAGGAAAGACAGACCAGTGTAAAATAAAATATTCTTTTTTAAAAAAGGGATTATGGGAAGCCAATGCTAAATATTTGCAATAAACTGAATGCTATTTCAGGAAGTGGGGGAGGCATGGTTCAAGCTAGAGTTCACCCTGAGGCATAAGGCAATCCTTAAGGGTTTACCAGATTCTTGCTTTGTATTTGCTGACTCCTCCCTCCTGAGTCTGGAGGAAGGTTTTTAATAGAAAGAGCTTGGCTTCATTTACATTGAGTTCTCTTTGTGATTTACTTCCTGATAATTTTGAATGAAGATACAGGGAAGCTGGATAGGGGTCTTCAGTCTAGAACTGCTGGGCCCCTGATTTCTGCTCTCTGATCTAATTTATGGCTATATGTCTCATTATAAATCATTATAAAAATACTTTACCCTCAGTCTGCAACGAGGGATCCCTGCAATAATAATCACCAAAAGAGTGCTGCAAAGAGAAAAAAAACCAAAGGCAGAGGGAGAAAAAGACATAGTGTGTGTGTATCATAAAGAATCTATCTGTGACTAACAACCTCTTTACTAAACAATTTTCCTTTTCAACATTATCTTTTGAGAAAGAGGAAGAACAAAGAAAATGGTTTTCAAACACAAAAAGAGAAAGAGAACTATGATATGCTTAAAGATTGAAATCATCCATCATTGAAAATTCATGTTCTAATCATATACAAGTTCAAGCTGAATTTGAAGAAAATGAAATCAAATCCACAGAAAACAAAATTGACCCTGAGTCTATTCCACTCGAATTTCAAAACCGTCTCAGGAACAGGTCTTGAACACCAATCAGTGAAGACAAGATGAGCTGTGGGAGGATATCAAGAATATCATCTGTGAAGAAAAAAAATCATTACAAAGGCAGAGGAGAAAGCAAAGACCAAAATGGATGTCAGAAGAGACTCTGACTATTACACTAGAGTGATAAGAAGCCAAAGCAAAGGGAAGAAATCAAGAAATTAAGGAGCTGAACAGAATATTTCAAAGGGCAGTATGGGAAGACAAAGCAAAATATTGTAATAAAATATGCAAAGAGCTGGAGTCAGAAAATCAAAAGGGCCAAACTCATTCAGCATGTCTTAAGCTAAAGAAACTCAAGAACAAATTCAAACCTTGAGTTGCAATGTGTAAGGATGCTACCAACAGAATATTGAATGATTCAGGAAGCATTAAAAGAAGATGGAAAGTATATACAGAATCACTGAACCAAAAGGAATTGGTTAACACAGAAGAATTTCATGAAACAACATATGAACAAGAGCCTGTGCCAATGAAGGAAGAAGTTCAAGCTGCTTTGAAAGAATTGGCAAAAAAATGTTAGTCTGGGCAAAGAGGGTCAAAGAGAAGAATGAAGAATTCAGAACTCAAATGCTGATGGCCTTGCTTGTTGAAGATAAGAAGAGAAAAGGGCCTTGCCTGTCTGGCTAAGCTAGCAGGTGGCTCATAGATCAGAATGGAATGTCCCTCCCTAAAGACTCTGTTTATAAAAATCCTCCCCAGTAAGTTCACAGTGTGACTTCCCATTCTGCCTCTCCAGGATGAGGAACTCACCCTGAAGCTCCCCTTTCCCCCCTTTAATAAAGCTGCATTAAGCTTTCTCTCCTATTCTCTGATTTCTTCAAGTCCACTAACCTAACCTAACAAAAACAAGGCCTCAGGAATTGATGGCATACCGATTAACATATTTCAACAAACAGATGCTGACCTGAATGCACTCACCAAGTTGTGTCAAGAAATCTGGATTCCAATCAATCTGGCCAACTGACTGGAAGAGATCTGTATTTGTTCCCATTTGAAATAAAGGTGACCCAACAGTGTATGGAAATTATCAAACAATATCATAATATCACACACCAGCAAGATTCTACTTAAAATTACCCTAAAACAACTGGAACAGCACATCAACAGAGAACTGCCATATGTGCAGGCTAGGTTTAGAAGAAGTCATGGTACTAGGGATTTTGGCTAAAAGCACAGAGTACCAGAGGAATGTCTGTGTTTCACTGACTATGCAAAGACATTTGTCTGTGTGGATCATAACAAACTTTGTTAACTTTGAGAAGAATGGGAATCCTAGAACAATTGATTGTGCTTATGCAAGACCTATGCTTGGACCAGGAAGCAGTTGTCAGAACAGAGCAAGGAAACAATGCACGATCTAACATTGGAAAGGGGGTATGCCAGGGATTTGTCCTATCTCCATATCTTTTCAATCTATATGCAGAACAGATCATCCAGGAGGCTGGGTTCTATGAGAAGAAATGTGGCATCATAACTGGAGGAAGACTCATGAGCAACCTGTGTTATGTAGATGACACATCTTTGCTTTCTGAAACTGAAGAGGATCTGAAGCACAAGCCTCCACTATGGACTGAGCTCCACATCAAGAAAACAAAGATTCTCACCACTGGGCCAATTGGTAGCATCATGATAAATGGTGAAGAGATTGAGATTGTTAACAACTTTAGTTTGCTTGGCTCCAAAATCAACACTCTTGGTACAAGCAGCCAGAAAACCAAAAGACAAATTGCATTGGGAAAGTCTGGTATCAGGCACATTTCCAAAGTACTGAAGAGCAACAATGTCAGTCTGGAGACCAAGGTACACCCAATCCAGAATCCAGGCCATGGTCTTCGCAATTACGTGCTATGCATAAAAAAGCTGGACAATGACTAGGGATGGTAGAAGGAGAATTGATGCCTTTAAGCTGTGGTGCTGGGTAAGAGTATTGGATGTACAATGGACTGTTAAGAGAATAAGCAGGTTCAGCCTAGACAGGGTGAAACCAGGCTGCTCCTTGGATACAAGGTTTCTGAAGCTCCTTTTGACATAATTTGGACATGTTGCAAGGAGGGACCAGTCCTTGGAGAGGGACGTTATGCTTGGAAGGGTGGAAGGACAGCACAAGAAAGGAAGACCCTTGAAGATATTGATTAATTCAGTGACTGGGTTAATGGTGGTAAGGGTGTCAGAAACAATAAGATTGAGTCAGGATACAGCAGAGTTCAGAGCTGTTGTAGATGGTATCGTTATGAGTCGCAGGTGACTTGATGGCACGTATCAACAACAATCAGGTGTGGAGAGTTGAACACAAGTCTTCACAGATTTACTATGTTGGAGAAGAAGTGAATATTTTTTTTCACACTATCATATTAATTTTATTTTTCTAAGGGCTCATATTGCAAATTAAGCCAAGCATGAACTTTTATAGACGTGAATATTTTGATCTGAATAGAAGAGATCCTTGAAAAGCACAGCGTGGATGGTCAATGAAAGGGCCATCAGAATCTTGGGCTCTGTTTTTGAGCCAATGAGAGCACAAAATATTGTCATCCTTTTAAAAAAAACCAAACAAACAACTAATTCTTTAATTTTAATTACTTCAAAACTTAATAGTGATCTGTTTTCTAAGGAAACCTTATGGCTGCAGTGGGGAAACAGCTTGTCAAAAACTAACTTGATCAGAGAAGTCAGCACTATGAACTCACTGCTTTTCTGAAGAAGGAAGATATGGCAATCTGCTTCCAGAACAATTTAAAGTCTTGCAAACCCTGTGGAACAGACTTGCTCTGTTCTATACAGTCACTATGAGTTGCAATCTAAATAAGTGGAGGGAGGGAAACTACTTTCAGATAGTTTGAAGACAGTGAAGGTTTTAGAAAATGCTTGATGAAAGCTATTGTGTGCTATAGAGCCATGATATTTATTCCACAGTTCCCTAGATCATAATCTTTCTGGGAGGAGATCCCCAGGACTTTTCTCTTACAGTGTAGCTGATAATTTTGAACCACTAGTCTTTTGGCTGGCAGAGTATGACACATACACACACAAAACGCAAGATGTTAGCAGAGATTTGAAGTAAAAGCTCAAAGAATGGAGGAAGCAAATCTGAAGACTTTAAAAAACAACAGAAGCTTACCTTTTAGAAGAACTGTTCTAGCTATTCTAACAGGTTGCACAATATTTCAAAATGAAGTTATAAAAAAGAGTTCAACATTATTCTATTTTTATGTAAATAATACTTCTCCCCCTTTTTAGGTGCATCTTAGTCTGTATTTGTGTGTGTGTGTGTGTGTGTGTGTGTGTGTGTGTGCGTGTGTGTGTGATTTTAGTAAAAGCTTAAAAAGAATTAAGGTTTACATTCATTCACTAATGTGCTTTCTCCTCCCTCTCCCTCTCCCAAATCACTCTGAAATGTGTGTCCTCTTGTTCCAAATTGCAACTGCCATACATATAATAGCTAATTTTCCATTCCTTTTAGGTTGTATTCCCCTTTATCTATTCTAGTGCAATGTTCATTCTTTCCCTGCTCTACACAGGCTCCTCATGCATTATTTTCCTTTGTGAATGATAAGAATGTTATTTGCTTGGGCATGTATGTAAACATAGTAAATATTATAATTTATAGTAATAATGATAACAGCAACAATATTACATCTATGTGCATCACTTACATATACCAAATAATAGACTAAAACTTGACATAATTATCAGGTTTCATAAGCAGCCAACACCTCTATATTACAAACATAAAACCTGAAGCATTGATGAGCTTTCAGTAACCCACCCATGGGTGCACAGGAAGACAGTATAAGAATTTAGATTCTTACTTTGGTAATCTGAACCCTGAGAGATTCCCTCTGGATCACTTTAAAAACTTTTTAAACTAGTCCCCACCTACTCCCACTTTTTACAAGAGTCATATTTAATTGTTCTGGAGTAGGGCCTGAGCAGTGGTATTACTTCAAAATCTCTAGGCAATTCTAATGAGCAGAAAGTACTGAAAGCCGTGAATCTAGCCATTATAAAAGACATGAACACTGGGAAATTCTGCTTCCACGGAAATTTTTAAAGTGCCAAAGAATAAGGATGTCACTTTTCTCCCCACATTTTAAAATGGTTTTAATTGATATTTTAATGAAAGTTTATAAATCCATTTATTCATTGTTGCACATTTTCCTCCTCACCCCGCCCCAGTTCGCTTTTCTTTTTGCAAAGAAAATTCTTTCATTAATGCCACTGTTATAAAACAAGACTGGCATCGAGGTTGGGGGGAGAAACTAAGAAAAGAGGGGATAAATAATGCACACTGCTTTTAAGCAGATGAGGGAGAGAACTGCTTAAAAGGAATATATTATTAGGTATTATTTACATGACAACAGTCCAGAATAAGAGCTGCATAGTAAAGTGGACTGGGGTGAGGGTGGGGAATTGTACAACAATGATATCATGTCACTTTAAAGATTCATTTCCACCTGGCCCAAGTCATAGCATTTTGAAATGCTTCATATGAGTGTGAAACTGGACAATGAATAAGGAAGCTCAAACAAGAACTGATGCCTTTGATTTTTGTTATATCAGTAGAGATTGTAACTCCAAAAAGTGATGGGTCAGGAAAGAAGACTGCTTCTTCCCTAAAGTTAGTCTGTGGCATTCATCTTAGATCAGAAGTATGGCATGCTTCGCAGAAAGGGATGGTAAGCTCTTGTTTAAGATTTTTTGTTTGTTTGTTTTGCTTTTCAACTCTACTTATCAACTCTTATTAGCTCTTTCCCAAAATAAAAGTCTTAGATTACATTAAAAAAATTTGACGCCTTCAAATTGAGGAGTTGACAAAGAATATTGAGTATTCTGTGTATTGCCAAAAGAACAAACCAATCTCTCTTGGAAGAAGCATAGCTAGAGTAGGCTTCAGAAGCAAGGATGGTGAAACTTCAACTCACTTAATTTGAACATGCTATTAGGAGCAAAAATCTGCTATCAGGGACCTCTACAAAGTATTATAAAGCAATTATGTGAGTCTAGAGACTAAAGTTCACCTAATGCAGGCTATGTTGTTGTTGTTGTTGATTGCCTTTGAGTTGAGCATGACTCAAAGCAACCCTACGAAGAAAAGGTCTGAAGCCCCTCTACAACTATCAACATTTATCAAAGTGCATAGAGTTTCTGGAGGCATGTTGTTTAGGAAGTAGATGCCACTCCTGCTTCTTTGCAATTACTTGTTATGTTTCAGAGAATTGGACAATGACTAAGGATTACAGAAGAAGAACTGTTGCCTTTGAATTGTGGTGATGGAGAAGAGTCTTGAACATACCAAGGACTGCCAAGAAAACAAATTGGTCTGTTTGGAGAGGGTGAAAAGGAGTTTCTACTTGGACGTTAGGATTTTGAAGCTCTGTCTCACATACTTTGAGCACATGGCCATGAGAGACTAGTCCTTGAAGAAGGACATCATGCTTGGAAGGGTGGAGGGACAGTGCAGGAGACAAAGACCTTGATGAGATGGATTGATACAATAAATGGGACAATGGGGGTTGGTGTGTTGGAATTAGTGAGACTGGTTCAGGACAGGGAAGGGTTCGGAGTTGCTGTACATAGGGTCACTATGGGTCACAGAAGACTCGACAGCACATAACAACAACAATCAGGAGCAACCAATCACTGTGAAAGGATATAAAGCTTGGAAAAATAGAGAGCCAGTGAAGGAGAGGAAAATCCTCAATAAGATGGATTGACACAGTAACTTTGCTTAAGCACACAGTAAATGAGTTTAAGTAGAGCAGAGATTGTGTGAACGGCACAGGATCAAGCAGGGTTTCCATCTGTTGTACTCTGGAGTCGCTGTGAGTCAAAGCTGACCTACAGCACCTAATAACAGCATAAAAGGCTATGTTAGAGTGCTTTATTTCTAATTGTTTATTTAATGAGGATTTTTAAAAAGCTAACGTATTGTTTTCCAGAGAAAGAAATAAAACTGCAGCACTCAGTGCAAACCTATCATTTTTCTAAGTTAAAAGAATGATCCCCAATAAGTAGTACCAGTTTTGTAAACACAGAGTTATTTAAGTACATAATCTGTTTTCCATTCCTACCTCATTCATGGTTAGTCCTAGGATGCCAACGGCCACGCGGATACTGCTGCTCTCCAGAGTACCTGTTACCATCCTTCGCTTATACTCAAGTTCTGACATCTGCTTCTGTGCTGCAAAAATAAAAGCTTCTTCCTTGGCTTCATTGGTCAGTGGCAATCTAAGCTCAGTGTCCAGTGTTGAACCATAAGCACAGTTCAAATACATAGTTGCATCTTCACTATTATGCCCTAAAGAAAACAAAAATGTTAGTCTAACAGCAAGGTTGCTACCCAGGATGCATTTGGAAAATGTGAAACATAAAACTGCAGTTACGAACTTTATTAAACAGACCAAGCACAAAAGAATATTTGTAGTAGTCATAATTCAGTGGTTCATGAAGAAATCTCCAAAAATAACAGGAAATACCTTTTTTTAATAAAAAAGGGTTCTAATAAAATGATTCCATCAGAGGCATAATAGTCAACCTGCTCATAAATTTTAATTATTGTAATGCTCCACTCAGAAAGTAGAAGTCATAGGAATATATATATATATATATATATATATATATAGAGAGAGAGAGAGAGAGAGAGAGAGAGAGATCAAAATAAGTGTGTAAGTCAAGATCTGTTATTTTCTTTTGCTAATAGTCTTCTACTTTAAATCTTATTATTTAAGGGTCAGTGGTCAAGAAACAAGAGAGTATTTTATGATCCTATGAAGACATACAGATTTTAAGAGTATTTAAAAAAAACAACAACAAGCAACAAAGACACTGCTATTCAATTGATTCCGCCTCATAAAGACCCTCCCTTCTATCTGGTTTTCAAGTCTATTACTCTTTCTTTTAAAAAAAATTTTATTAATTTTAATGAACATTTGCAAAGATTCATTCTTGCATTTTTCTCCCTGCCTACCCCTCCTCCCCAGTTCGCTCTCTATACTGCACTGAAACAGATGAGGGAGTGAATAATTTAAAAGCGATGTATGATAGGATCTTATGGTTATCACATGAGTCCACAATTAAGGTTGCATAGTGGAATGTACTTGGGGTGGTGGGACGGGTGCGGGGGGGATTGTGTACGAGGGAGGGAGT